GCTGATTTTTCAGCAGAAACTTTTCAGGCCAGAAGAAAGTGGCATGATATACTCAGAGTACTAAAAAGAAAAAAAACCTACAACTAAGAATACTCTACATGGCAAGATTATTTCAGAATTGAAGGAGAGAGAGTTTCCCAAACAAACAAAAGTTAAAGTTCATCACCTTTAAGCCAGCCTTATTAAAAGTGTTAAAGGGACTTCTTTAAATGGAAAAGGCAATAACTAGAAGAAAATTATTAATGGAAAAAATTGCACTAGTAAAAGCAAACATACAAACATAAAAAGGTAGTAAATCAATCAAGTATAAAGCTAGTATGAAGACTAAAAAAAGGAAAATCAATTCTGTTTAAAATATTAATTAAGGGATTCACAAATTCAAAGATAGAAAACAGACATCATATACATAAAACATGGAGAGGGAGGAATAAAAATGTCCTTATTAACATCATCATTAATACATGTGTTCTAACTTAAGCAACCATCAGCTTAATATTTACTTCTATACACTTAGGATGTTGTATATGAACCTCATAGTAAACACAATCCAAAGACCTATAATAGATTCACAAAAATTAAAGACAAAGATACTCAAGCATAACATCAAGGAAAATCACTCATCAAAAGGGAAGAGAGCAAGAGAAGAAGGAAGAAACATAGAAGAACTACAAAAACAACAAGAGAACAATTAACAAAATGGCAAAAGGTATAAACCTATCAATAATTAAATATAAATACCCTAAATGTTCCATCAAAAGACATAGGGTGACTGAATGAATAAAAAAAGCAAGCCCCATCTCTAAGATGCCTACAAGAGACTAACTTCAGACCTAAACATATATAGAGAGACTGAAAGTGAAGGGATGGAAAAGACATACCATGCAAATGGAAACAAAAAGCTAGGATAGCAATATTATATAACACAAAATAGACTTTAGAACAAAGATTGTAATGAGACAAAAAGGACATTACATAATGATAAAGGAATCAATCCAAGAACAGGATATAACAATTATAAATATCTATGCACCCAACCACAGGAGCAACTAAATATATAGAATATGAATAGACATAAAGGGAGGAATTGACAGTAATACAATAATAGTAGGGAAACTGACCACCCCATTTACATCAATGGGTGGATCATCCAGACAGAAAATTGATAAAGAAATGCTGGCTTTAAACAACACATTAGACCAGATGGACTTAACAGATATATACAGAAATTCCAACCAAAAATGGTAGAATACACATTCTTTCAAGTGTAGATGGAACATTCTCCAGAAGAGATCACATGTTAGGACACAAAACATGTCTCAATAAATTTAACAAGACTGACATTATATCAAGGATCTTTTCCAAACATGACAGAATGAAACTAGAAATAAATTACAAGAAAAAAAAGAAAACAAGTGGATGCCAAACAACATGCTAGTAAACAACCAGTGGGTCTCCAAAAAAATCAAAGATCAAATCAAAAAATACATGGGGACAAATGAAGACAGAAACACATTGGATCAAAATCTTTGAGACATAGCAAAAGCAGTTCTAAGAGGGAAGTTGAGAGAGGAAAAAAGTCTATCTCAAGAAACAATAAAAATCTCAAAAAAAACAATCTAATATTATGCCTAAAGAAATTAGAAAAAGAACAAACAAAGCCCAGAGTTAGTAGAAAGAAGTAATAAAGATCAGAGTGAAATAAATGAAATAGAGACTAAAAATACAGTAGAAAAGATTATTGAAATTAAGATCAGGGTCTTTGAAAAGGTAAACAAAATTGACAGCCAGATTCATCAAGAAAAAAAAAAAAGAGAGGGGACACAAATAAATAAAATCAGAAATGAAAGAGGAGAAATAACAACCAACACCACAGAAATACAAAGAATTATGAGACTACTATGAAAAATTATGCACCCTCATTTGGACATCCTAAAAGAAATGGAGAAATTCCTAGAAATATATACTCTTCCTATACTGAATAAGGAAAATGGGAAATCGGAAAAGCCTGATTACCATCCATGAAATTGAATCAGTAATAAAAAAATTCCCAACAAGCAAAATTCCATAAGCAGGTGGCTTCACAGGTTAATTCTACCAAACATATAAAGAAGAGTTAATATCTATCCTTCTCAAACTATCCCAAAAAAATTAGAGGAAGGAAGCTTCCTAATTCATTCTACAAAACCATCATTACCCTGATACAAAAAACAAAAACAAAAAAAGATAAAAAACACTATTAAAAAAGAAAATTACTAAGAGGCTAATTTCTCTGATGAACAGAGGTGCAAAATCCTCAACAAAATATTATCAAACCAAATAAATAATACATTAAGGATCATTCACCATAATCAAGTGGGATTTATTCCAGGGATGCAAGGATGATTGAATATCCACAAATCAATATACATGATATATCACATTAACATAATGAGGAATAAAAATCTTAAAGCACTTGATGAAATTCAACATCACTTAATAAAAACTCTCAAAAAAGTGGGTTTAAAGGTAACATTCCTCTACATAGTAAAGGCCACATATGAACAACCCACAGCTAATATATACTCGATGGTAAAAAGCAGAAAGCTTTTCCCCTAAGATCAGGAATAGCCAATCTTGCCAGTTTTATTCAACATAGTACTAAAAATCTTAGCTTCAACAATCAGACAAAAAAAAAAATCCAAATTGTTATGGAAGAAGTAAAACTGTCACTATTTGCAAATGACATGACACTATATATAAGACCCTAAAGACTAGACCCAAAATGCTGTTAGCATTACAAAATGAATTAAGTAATGTTGCAAGATAGAAAATAAAGAAAAATCCATTGCATTTCTATACAGTAATAACAAAGAGGAAGAAAGAAAAATGAAGTAAGCAACACCATTTACAATTGCATCGATAAGAATAAAATGCCTAGGAATAAATTTAACCAAGCAGGAAAGGCATGCAGTTTGAAATCTGTAAGATGTTAAATAAAGAAACTGAAGATGACAGTTTCCAGAAATGGAAAGCTATATCATGCTTATGGATTAGAAGAATTAATATCATTAAAATGTTCATATAAGCCATAATAATCTAAAGATTCAATGCAATCCTTATCAAAATACCAACAGCATTTTTCACATAACTACAACAAACAATGCTAAAATTTGTAGGGAATTATATAGCACCCTGAATAGCCAAAGCAATCTTGAGAAAGAAAAACAAAGCTGGAGGTGTCACAATCCCAGATTCCAAAATATATTACAAAGCTAAAGTAATTAAAACAGCATGGCCCTGGCACAAAAATAGACGCATAGATCAGTAGAACAGGATAGAGGGCCCAGAAATAAACCCATCGTTTCATGGTCAATTCATCTATGACAAAGGACATCAGAATATATGAAAGAAGTCAAGAATATACAATAGGGAAAAGACCATCTGTTTAATAAATGGTTCTGGGAAAACTGGACAGCCATATGCAAAAGAATGAAACTAGACCACTATCTTTACACCATACACACACAAATAAACTCAAAATGGATTAAAAACATAAATATGAGACCTGACACCATAAAACTCTTAATATAAAACATAGGCAGTAATCTCTTAGACACTGGCCTTAGCAATATTTTTCTATACTTCTCTCCTCAGGCACAGAGAACAAAACCATAATTAAACTATTGGAACTACACAAACATAAAAAAACTTTGGCACAGTGAAGGAAATCAACAGAACAAAAAGGCATCCTACTGAATGGGAGAAGATATTTGCAAATGATGCATCCGATAAGGAGATAACATCGAAAATATATTAAGAACTTAAACACACTTTAACACCAAAAAAATCCAATTACAAATAGGAAGAGAACCTGAATAGACACATTTTTTTAAAGAAGATACACAGATGGCCAACAGACACAGGCAAAGAGATTCAGTATGAGTGATCATCAGGGAAATACAAATCACAACCACAATGAGATATTGGCTCATACCTGTCAGAATGGCTAGTATCAAAAAGACAAGTGCTAGTGAAGATGTGGAGAAAAAGCAACCCTTGTGTACTGTTGTTGGAAATGTAAATTGATGCAGCCACTGTGGAAAACGGTATGGAATTGCCTCAAAAAATTAGGAAAAGAAATACCATACAACCCAGTATTTCAACTTCTGGGCATTTACCTGAAGAAAACAAAAACACTAATTTAAAAAGATATATGCACCTATCCATTCTGTGGCAGCATTATTTACAATAACCAAGATATGAAAGTAATTTTTGTGTCCATGAATAGATGAAAGGAGAAAGAAGATATGGTACATATATACACAGTGCAGTATTACTCAGCCACAAAAAGGAATGAAATCTTGCCATTTGCAACAACATAAACATTGCAAATAAGCCAGATGGAAAAGACAAATACTTCATGTATAATAATATAGGTCTGCAAACAAGCCATACAGGAAAAGACAAATACTATACGATTTCTCTTATATGTGGAATCTAAAAACCAAAACAAACAAGCAAATAGGCTCCTAAATACAGAGAACAAACACTTGGTTGCCAAAAGGGAGGTGGGTAGGGGGAACGGGTGAAATAGATGAACGGTATTAAAAAGTAAGTACAAACTTCCAGTTATAAAACAAAGTCATAAGCATGACAAGCATGTGGAACATAGTCAATATTGTTGTAAGTAACAGAGAGTAACTACACTTACTGTGGTGGTCATTTCATAATATATATAATTATTGAATTACTATGTTGCACCTAAAACTAATATTGTATGTCAACTACCCTACAGTAAAAAAAGAACAAATTTTATCAAATCAAATTAACAGCAATAGGAGACATCATTGTCCTAAAAATAAATGTGTAATTTTCAGATATTTCCTGAGTGCTTGTCATGTGGTAGACACTGTTTAAGCACTATATTCATAGCAACTTATAAATATTATCCCACTAATACTCTTTAATGTTTTTAAGTAAGGATACCCATTTTGCACATACACACAAATAATACAAAATACCTGAAGGGCCGTAAGAATATTTGCTAAGGCTTGTCCATATGTGTCATGGCAGTGAACAGCAAGAGCAGTAGGTGGGATTTCTTTCATGACACTCTCCAACATTCTCTTCATGCTTCCTGGAGTTCCCACTCCAATGGTGTCTCCCAGAGAGATCTCATAACAGCCCATGCCATACAATCTCTTAGATACCTGTCGGGAAAGGTGAGGAGCTAGTAAAACAATGGAAATGGACAGTCTCAAACCCTGTTATTCCTTAACAAACATCATCCAGAAGTAAAAGTCACAACTAAGATCAGTTACGTATCCATGGGAAACATTTATTTTAGTTTTCTGGTCTTTTTCCTGTTTATTAAATCCTAAGCATTATATAAAGGTTTTAAAGACATTACTATATTTTTCTAATATTCAAATTTGGCTTAGAATTGTAGCTATCTATTTACATAGTTTGGTTATGAAATTATAAGCTACAATTTCAATTATGGGAGGCTTACTTTCTCAACGCTATCATCAAAACAGGAACATTACAAATTTACTTTGGAAGTAGTATTTCTCGAGACGTTAGATTAGAGGTCAAGAGATATCAATACTAGTTCCAGCTCTGTCAGTAAGTAGTTTTGTGATTGATAGAATCACCTAATATTTCTAACTTAATTTTTCTGGCTTATAAATGGATGCATTTGTGCAAAGTAAACTGCAAGTTCCCTTCATGCTGGGTAACTAATGTCACTTTCAAAGAGCAATATGAGTTTGCAAGAAGGCAGCATGGTATGTTAACAAAGACATGAGTTCTGAAATCAGACAAGCCTGGATTTAAATCTCAGCTTCCACCCATGCTAGTCATGTGATACTGGGTAGAAGATTAACCTTTTTAAGCCTCAGTCTCTTTTCTGTAAAATAGAGACAATACTTTTTTTTTTTTAAAGATTTTATTTATTTATTTATCTGAGAGAGAGAGAGAGACAGAGAAACAGCATGAGAGGGGATAGGGTCAGAGGGAGAAGCAGGCTCCCCGCTGAGCCGGGAGCCTGATGTGGGACTCGATCCCAGGACTCTGGGATCATGACCTGAGCCGAAGGCAGTCGCTTAACCAACTGAGCCACCCAGGCGTCCGAGACAACAAATACTCTTATTAGCATATTTTCTAAGCCTTATTAATTTTTAAACATTGTATTAATGATGGTGTTAATAAGGACATGTTGGTTATGAAAATGAAATGAGAATATATAAAAAAATTGCTTTGTACAGTATCTGGCATTTGTAAAAAATACTGTAACTCATTTATTATGTATTTCTTCAGTGCCCATTTTATGACAGGCAGTAGTTTAGGTGCTGGGATATAATAAGCATATAAGTATTGAGATGGTTTATGCTGTCAACTGAGGATTGAACTCAAACAATTCCACTCAAGAAAGTGTAAATACAAGTAAAATAAGAATTTTGGAACAAAGAAACAGGATTCTAAGAGCATGTAGCAAAGGAAATTGACCTACATCTATCAAGTAGGAAGGGCCTAAGTGAGAGCTTGAGATAAAGTAAGCGTTAACTTGTTGAAGAGGGTGAGAAGGGTACAAGAAGAATGTTTCAAGTGGAATATAACGTGTTCCAGACAGCTGAAATAGAAAATGCAAAGGGCATTCCAGATCGGAAAAAAATACAAAGGGTAGGTGTGGCAAGAAAGCAAAAACCAAGGGGGGAATGAAGCTACATAAATCTGGTGAGGTAGGCATAGGACAAACCATGCAGAGCCTTGCAAACAAGCCAAGCTGAGAATTTTGGTTGAGGATTCTATCATAAGAGTAATAGGAAGCCACAATGGACTGTTGGGGTAATGGGGATAGTGGCAATATTAATCTTTCAGAAAGGCACTATCAACAATATCAAAAACAGGTTGGAGGGCACTCAGAAGGGCCCCCTAGTCCAAGTAGGAGACTATTATTGGATGGAAACTTGGATTTAAAAAAAAAAAAACGGCATAATGTTCATTCTTCCCTACTGCCTATTAAATGCTGGAATTTCTTAATGGCCAGGTAAAGGACAATGAAGTTTCAAAAGAGAAACCTAACCACAGTTGGATGAAAACCCTAAGTGTGGTATCAAGGGAGTTTAAGGAAACAAGGGTGTCATCAAGGACAAGTGGTCAGTAGTCCCAAATTCTGCTAAGATGTCAAGATGAGTACTGAATATGATCTTGCATTTTTTAACCCAAGTGCTAAGTAGTGGTCTTACAAAGAGGGATTTCAGGGGCGCCTGGGTGGCTCAGTCGTTGAGCGTCTGTCTTCGGCTCAGGTCATGATCCCAGGGTCCTGGGATCAAGCCCCGCATCAGGCTCCCTGCTCAGCAGGAGGCCTGCTTCTCCCTCTCCCACTCCCCCTGCTTGTGTTCCCTCTCTCGCTGTGTCTCTCTGTCAAATAAATAAATAAAGTCTTTAAAAATAAAAAAAAAAAAGAGGGATTTCAGTGAAGTGAATGGTCTAGAAGTCACCTTGGAGGATGATAAAGAGATGGTGGCACCTGAGGAAATAAACACCAGTAGTGTGGACAGCCCTTTGAAGAAGTTTAGATGTAGAAGGATAAAAATAGGTAACCAGTAAATAGATGTGGATGCTTAATTAAGAAAGGAAGCTTTCAGATGGCAGAGACTTGAACGTGTTCAAGTGTCAACAGGAAGAATTCTAAGCAGTTGAATATACAGGGGAGTAAACGAGAAGAGGAACTAGAAGCTTGAACAGACTGAACAGTTTGCAATGCTGACTGCAGGCAGTAAGAGAGGGAGTCGGCCACAAAACCTAGTAGAGGAGTACAGAAGGCTCATTTAAAGTTGCTGGTCATCAACTAATGCTTCCAATCTGCCTGTTATGCAATTCTCTTCAACAACTCCTCAGGCATTCTGGTGCAGGCATGGAGAGGCTGAGGGTATGTGTGGTACGTCCAGAGACTCCACAAGGCAAAAGGCAGAAAAGGGGTTTGGTGTACAGGTAGAGTTGGAGCCTCATTTTTTGCGGAGCCTGAAGTTGTATCATTTTGGAAATTTTAAGAAAAGAATATGTGTTTGTAAATGCAAAGTCTTAGAAGGGTCCCATGCAGGTGAAGGACTACAACACGGAAGAATCCTTATTTTACAGTGTATCTGCCTCTGTGTGTAAAGGTCTTAAAAATAGACTGTGGGACAACACTCATTTGAAAAAAATCTGCAGTAAATTTCAAAAGTTCAAATGAAAGCACAAAAGAGGAATGGCTTTAGCCAAACTGAAGGTTTATCCTCATAAATTCTGATTTTCTAACAATGCTCTATCTTCATGACTTTGGTAACGCATTACAAAATATATGAAAATAACAGCCTTAACAACAGGTGCACAGTAATATAGTTCACATACAAATGTGTTTCTGAGAGCCTAAAATAGTCTCAAAGACTGAATATTTTGTCTTCATTAGTATCAATTAATAAACAAGAACAGGAAGTAGAAAATGAACTTCAATAAGCAGGTCTTTAATGGATATAATCTATCACCACAAAATTGCTCTCTAATAAAAGCAACTTGAATCTCAGCAGTAAGAGCTCTTGGATCTTAAAGGAACAAAAGCAGTGTACAGCAAAAGCAGTGTATACTCTGATACAAGTGTCAAAGTATGCAGGACAAAAACAAAGGGAGCCTACCTGAGCAACCAAAGCAAAGTTGAAGTGTGTGGGCACAAACTGTCCCGACATTCTGATGGAATGTGGAAAGGCCCTCACTGCATTCTACCCATGTAAAAATGAAACAGGTGTTTTTATTCCTTCACCTTTGAGCACCCAAATGATAAGACTCAAAGGTTATTTAACTTTGAGGAGTTGTAGCCAATATATCCATCTGCAGTGTCCAAATGAAACAGTTAAGTAATCAAACTTGTCTTCCATTCCATGGTTCTCCTTAAACTCTGTTGTCTGATGCAAAACATAGTAAGGAAAATAGGCCACTTTTTAAAATAATATACATCATTTTACCAAGAACCAGAAAACCAGGGGTATCTTACTTCTGTCACTTTTTGTGGTGTGATGTTTCCTTCATATGGACAGCCCAGGGCACAAGACACATACCTAAATTTAAAATACAGCATCATATAAATATATGGATGATGGATAAGTCATTTCCTAATTTTCATTTTATCAAAATTAAGAAATAGCTAAAAAGTCATCAAAAATGTATTTTACACCAGTTCATTACTATTCTCAGAACAAACAAAAACAATTTTGGAACATTTTCAATTGATCTCACATTTTTATCTAGTAATTACAATTTGATATGTTATCTGATGGCAGATGGGAATAAGATAACATGTGTTTATCTTGTGGAGTTATTTATACAACAGCAATATATGAACATTCAAAGCAGAAAATATCACTGAACTACATAGTTTTATTTAAGTACCTACATTCAATTGTTAAATATCCAGGTCTTTGGACTCATAGAAAGATAGCATGTAGATGACTAACTGAATTTCTTTTTACTCCCATTTGGATCTTTTGGACTTAATTAGATACAGTCATTAATCACCCCAAAACTTCTAAACCTGGCCACAACCTCAAAGTTCATCTTGTTTATCTCCTGTGGGTATACTTAAATCATCCCAAACAGAAGAGTTTCTAGTCTGTTTAAAAGACTCCAAATAAAGATATTCCATAAGCTTCTTCAACAATTTAATATAAAAAGTCAAGTCTTTCCTGAAATGATAATACTTTTCCATTTTAAGTATTAAGCTTTAGAAAAAGCCTGTTTTAGCTATTTTCAGCTCAACACCAATCCCATTTTATTAAACTTTCCTCAGAGATTTTACAACGCTTCTATTAAAACAATGCATCATGTGTTTGATTGTCAGGGATGAAGCAATTCACATGAGTGAGACAGGGGTGGTAGGAAATGAGGCTGGAGATCCAATTTTCTGAGAATATAACAGGATTTAGATAATAAGGCCCTTGAATGCCATGCCAAGGAGTCTGAACTTTGAGATCACTCAAAGTTATTAGGTAACGTAGTGACAAGATCAGAGTAATTTTCCAGGAATGTTAACTCTTTGAGAACTCTGGAAGTGGTTGCCAGAGGAAAGGTGCAGGCAAAAACAAGACAAACCATAAAACCATTATTTCTATGATTCCAAGATGCTGTCCATTATAAGATACACTATGAATTTCATAACAGATTTTGGAGTGAAAAAGTAAATTATATATTCAATGATTCAATCCATTAAAATGTGAATAAAAGTTGTGTTTTGTGATTCAAATAAATAAGCAATTTACTAAATCAGGTAAGCAGTGATGAAGACAGAGAAGGAATAAAGAGGTTAATTCAATTAAAATTTGAAAGTTATGCTGGAGAGGAAATCCATTTCTCTGCCCCAATAATTACTATAATTTAATCTTGTTTGAATAATCTGTATAAATTTAATCAAGACAACTGGAAAGAAAATGTTACATAAACCTAACACTTGGAAAAGGAGGCTAAGGTTGAAAAAGAACAAACATTTTCAATTCAGATACAATGATTATAAATATGCATTTTCTGTGTGTGTGTGTATAATCACCTTTATTCTAAACCCAAAATATCTAAATGTGATTAAATAGAAAATCCAAGCCATGCATTTACATGCCTTCCGTCTAAATATATATATAAAAAAAAATAAAGAAAAAAAAAAGTGCAAAACAATAAAAGCAAAACAAAACCAACCTCTCCTGCATTCTCAACTAATCTGGCCATAGCTACCCCTTTGTGCTGTAATTTTAAGTTGGCCACGTGCATTTTCATTCACTCAAGTTTTCCCTGATTGCTTTCCAGGTTTGCCTGGTCTTCATATTCCACCGATTCCAACTTTGTCCATGTGCATTTTCATTCATTCAAGTTTTCCCTCTGATTCCTTCCCAGGTTTGCCTGGGTCTTCATATTTCCCCGCATTCATCTTCACATATTCTTCTCCATCCTTGTAGGTGGCCACTCCTTTAACCTATTCACACATGGAGCTACTTTCTCCAAAACAAACATAAGGATTCTCAACTATATTCATTAACTTACTTTAATATTCTATAAGCACAGGTTGGCAAACTAAGACCCACAGGCCAAATCCTGCTCATTAGTCTTTTGCAAGTAAGTTTTATTGGAACAACGCCATGCCCATCTGTTTACCTATTATCCATGGCTATTTCTGCATTGTAAGAGCAGAGGTGAGGAGTCACACAGAGACCATTTGACCCACAAAACCTAAAATACTACTGTCTGGTCCTTTACAGAAAAAACTTGCTGCTGGTAATAAGTGAAATACTTTCATGAGTGTGAGAATGTCTCTATCATGATAAAAATAGTCTACATCATCTGCTTTGACTAGTGGCTAGAGTCAACGTCTAGATTTCCGCTCTTCTCTAGCAATTAGAGTGGCTCTCAAACTTGCCCACACAGAATCACCTGGGGAGCTTAAAAAACAAAACCATGATGGTTAGGACACACTCCAAACCAATTAAATCACAAACTTAGGAAATGAAAGTCAACCACTAATATTTCAAAATAATTTCTAAATCTCCATTATTTTGTTAAAATTGAAAACCACTAAACCATTAGCAATACTACCGCCCCTGGATTGCCTGATTCCCTTGCATACAAAAGGGGACAATACACAGATTTGAGAGTAGCTAGTCTCAAGAATCTCCTATTATGCCATAGAACCTTTGATCTATTTTTGATTGGCTGGTGGTTAAATTTCTCACAGACCTATCTCAAATCGTTCTACTCTGATGAAGCCCCAAACTACAACCTCTCCATTTCTTTTTTTTTATCCAGTTTCTTACTTCTGGCTTAATGTCCTTTAGTACTTTTTTCCACCAATGGTTGAGTTTAGCAGACCATTTTGTCAGCAAATGATTTTATTTCACCTTAATTAATGTATAATAGTTTGGCTAGGTATAAAATCTAGGTTAAGTTATTCTACCTTTTTGAACATATTTCACTATCTCTGCTCTCAGTTTTGCTGATGAGAAATTTGCTATCTAGTGGTAAGGCCTCTATAGCAATTTTATAGTAATTTGTTCTCTATTATCTTTAGGATTCTCTGTTTATATCTAATATTCTACATTTTACCATGAGAATGTCAGGACTTGTTATACTTCTTTAATATTTACATTGATGTTTTTCTTCAAATCTAGAAAATCCTCAAGGTATTAATTCATCAAACCTATCTCTCACATCTGATTTCCTGTTTTTCTCCTGAAAATCTTGTTAGGCATGCTCTCTTAACCTCACTTTCAAAAGTTCTATTAATTTTTTCTGTGTTTTATTATTGCAATTTCCTTAAATCCTACTTCCAGTAACTAATACCCCTTTCAACTGTATGTAATCTGCTTTTCAATGCAATCATTGTTTTCATTTAATAAATGTATTTTTAAAGAAATGTTTTTTTGTAAAAGCTTCATTATTTTTTATAAAGATCTGTTCTTTTATGTTCTTCCTTTTCCTCTTTATTTTGAGGGGTTAATTTATAATCTCTCTTCAGATTGTTCTATTTCCTTCCTTTCTGTTAAAGTTTTCCTATATTTTTTTGTTTTTTCTTAGCGTACACTTTGTATCATCATGTGGTTTATAAATTTTACTGTATCTTTTCACAGTGATTTTAGTTTCTGTAGGAATTCCATGACAGTCTTGATTTATTCAAATGTCCCCATAAACAAGATCTGACTTCCTTTGGCCCTTGCTCTATGGACTTTACCAGTTCTTGGAAAAATTTCTACCTGAATTTCTTAATTTGGGTTTCCAGGATATACCAACAAGTTCCACTGACCTTGCATTTACAAGGAGGTGATTCCCGCTTCCAAGAATAATCACTTTCAAATCCATGTTTTAGTAGAATATCTGTCTTTTCCCATATAGACATTAAAATCCCATTTTCAAGCCACTAGGGATTATATCTGAAATAGATACCCCATGTGTTAGTGGCATCAACCTGCATGCTTACCACACTTTCTTTGATGAAATCTGAGGACTTTCCTTTCTGAGTTTGGCTGTATGTTTTAAAAGTGGTTATATTTATGTGTTTGTAATAGGAACAAAAAAGGGAGTCTCTGCATCAACTCAGTCCCCCACAGTCTCTGTCTTTCATCATTACACAGATAGATAACTCCAGGAACAACTCAAAATCTCATGAACATTACAAATTGATTCCCTGACATATTCACATGGCATATTAAGCTCAGTATGTCCAAAATGGTGCTCATTCCTGTTTCCCCTGCATTTGCCATTAAAAAAAATAATAGTAATAGTCATTTTCAGAATCTGTCCTGCCAGATCACTTAAAGGTCATCTTTGAGAACATATTCAATAACTTGGGTTGGCTGGTTCTTCCTCTCCAGCCTCTGTAGCACATGACCTCTGCCAGTGCCAGCCCAAGTATACAGAACAGTCCCTGAATATCTTCTCCAGGACAGCTGCAAACATCTGCTAAGTGCTTTCCTTGCCTCTGGTCTCACATCACTCATTTGTACACCAATATCTATTGACAAAATATGACTACAACACAGATCTGTTTACATAGTTTTATACTTTGAAAATCTTTAGTGGCTTGCCATTGTCTACCAAGTAAACTTGATATTCAAGTTCAGCAATTTGTGAAACTTCAACCTAAATTTCTACCTCTCCCCCATTACACAGCTTCAAAAACTCCCATTCCAGTGAAAGTAAACTTTTCCCTGTCACCTAAGCATTTTTTGAGACTTCTCTTCACTATGCCTTTGTTCTTTGTAGATTTCCTGCCCCACCTGAAAAAGCCATTATTTCTGTTTATGCTTCCATATATTTACCTATCTTTAATGACTTCATTTTACTGACACTTTCTGCATTAAATTTCTCCAGATTACCCCAGAGAAATTTAATATAGTATTACTTTAAACTTGAATAGGATTTTTCTGTATATCTCTTAATGTATTTGCCTTTTTTGACAATAAATTTTTTCTCTATATATTATTCTCCAGTCTGCTTGAAACTATTTGAAGGTTGGCTACTTCTTCATTTTCATATTCCATACAGTATCACTAGACAGTTCATTATATAAAACACTCAATATTTC